AACAATCTACAAAGTAGGGTAAGTACCAGAGCTTCTAACTAAGGTCAGAGAAGTGAAGTAACTCTCCTAAGTCCACATAGCAAGTTTTAGGCTTCCTAGCTGCAGACTTCTCATGAAGTGTAGTGTGATGATCAAAATAGCCTGAAAACAACCATGGCAGCTCACTCTGGTTACCAGTACAATGAGCTGGAAGGGATGAAAGACTCCTTCTCCTGGCAGAAGGGGCTGCACCCTAGTTCAAAGACTGGTGGTGTCCTCTCCACTGTGGGACTGTAGCATCCTATGGACCCCGAGATCCCCAGATGCTAGGCAGCTGACTTTCCCAGATACTCCTGTAAGCAGCCAAGCCCCCAAATCTAGACTGCCTGAACCAAGCTGCCTAGGTATCCCCTCACTGACAAGGCAGCTTTCTCAAGCTTGCTTTGTAAAAAAGGTAGAATCAAGGGTGATATTGCTCCTCTGTTAGAATAAGGACTCACACTACATGTCTTGCAGAGCACTGTAACTGACTTTATAGGTTTACTCTTTCCCCAGTAAAGCCTATTTCTTAACCCAAACTGGGTGAGCTTGTAGAACTCATTCTGAACCAGCTGCACACCAGGTGGCAACTCAGAAGGGACCCAATTTACACAACAGATACCTGCTTCTTTTATGTAGGTAGAAGGATGTGTCATTCAACTGTCCCATTAATATGGTGCTACATTAAAAAAACACTCATGGAAAAATTGTTTCACCCTTAAAGTTATGTTTTCTAGTTTTATTACATGTATCCATTTAAGTCATCCAATCTTCTCTCTACAAGACAGAGTATGTATAAGCAAACACATATCAATAAATGTTATACATCATACATTGTTTTATTCGAGACTTCATCTCCTTTCTGCTTTTTATTGCCCCCATTTTAGACACACACACACGTATCCCACTCATGTACTTTCTGACAACAACTCACAAATGCCATTGCTAAAGTAGCTTGATTTCTCTAGTGATTCTGAGTATTGAGATTCTAGGGGCACATGGGAATATTCTCCTGTCCAAGTTCTTGTGATCCTACTACAATTCCTCTTATGTCTCAATCACAGTGATCTAGGACAAAGTCGCTTCTTTTTTTTTCAAAGGGCCTCACTGTCACCCAGGCTGGAGTGCAGTGGTGTCATCTCAGCTTACTACAGCCTTGACCTCTTGGGCCCAAGCAATTCTCCTGCCTCAGCCTCCCAAGTAGCTGGGACTACAGGTGCACACCTCCACACCTGGCTAATTTTTGTATTTTTTGCAGAGACAGGGTTTCGCCATGGTGGCCAGGCTGGTCTTGAACTCCTGGACTCAAGTGATCTGCCCACCTCAGCTTCCCAAAGTATTGGTAATACAGGCCTGAGTGCCCAGCAAAAGTAGTGTTTAGTAAAGGAGCAGGTTTCTCAGTAAAGCATTAATCTACCCTCATGAGTTTTCCTTTGATTATTCTTTGGGATATTCTCCATCTTAATCACATATGCTAGAGGCCAGGAGTGTGAGACCAGCCTGGGCAACATCATAGGAACTCTGTCTCTGCAAAAGCAAACAAACAAACAGACCTATAATGGCTTATTTCATTGCCCTTCTAAGGTTTTCTTAAAATTTATTTTTAAGTGTTCACTAATTTTTACATTATTCATCTACCAAAATGACTAAAATAAGACAAACTGCCGGTGCTAAATGTGGATGATGATATAGAGCCACTGGAACGTCCATACATTGTTGGTGGGTTGTAAAATGATACAGCCACTTTTGAAAAAGGCCTGGCAGTTTCTTTTAAAATTATAGATACACCCACCCTATGATCCAGCAATTCTATTGCTAGGTATTTACTCAAGAAAATAACAACGTATGTCCACCAAAGACTTATATAAAAATGTTCGTAGCAGCTTTATTCACAATAGCCAAAATGTGGAGATAGCCCAAATATTGTCAGTGGGAAAATAGATACACCAATTGTAGCAACTTTAACAATTGGAATGTAGTTTAGCAACAACAACAAAAAAGCAAACCAGAGACATATGCAATAACACAAACAAATCTCTGAATTGTGCAATGTGGAAGAAGTCTTGCATAATGAGCAGAGTCTACACTGTATGATTCCAACTATATGAAGTTCTATAACAGACAAAACTAATCTGTAGTGAATAAAATTAGAACAGTGATTCTTTCTGGGTTAGTTAGAATGAAGATTGAGATGAGTCATGAGACATTTTGGGGTGATCGTTATGTTATTTTGATAGGGGTTGCAGTTACATAGATATATGGATTTGTCAAAAAGAGGATGTTCACTTTAAAATTTGTACATATCATTATGCATACCTTAACAATAATTGTAAATAAAATTAAACTCTAATGAAATGTATGCCGAAGTATTTAGGAAGAAGTGATGACTGCTACTCATTTTGAAATGTATCAATAAGTAAGATGGATTGATAGATAAGGATAAATAGATAGGTAAATATGTGATAAAGCAAGTACAGTAACATGCTGTGATAGAATCTAGGTGGTGGGTATATGAATGTTTAGTGTTAAATTCTTCCATATTTTCTTCCACTGAAACCCTGTGTTTCTGAAATTTTTCATAACTTACATTGGATATAAGTTCATTAGCTTCTTTCATCTTCCAAAATTGGTACATCCTCCTCTTCATACTTCCTTTGGTTCTCATGGTTTCTGGAGGCGGGGACAGCCTTGCGACTACAGCTACCCATGCAGTGCTATTTGAGGGACTCCAGAAGGCTTCTCTGCTCAGCATCCCCCTCGCCTCCTTCTCCCACCAGTCCCAACGGAAGGTTTCTATTAAGCATTTATTTCTTTAGATCTAGAAGAAGTTTAGATCATCACAAATCTCCTATCAACATGCAAATATTCCCAGCTCAGGAAAGTAATTTAAACCTGAGGGGACTTACTTGTCAAATAAAGGAAAGCAGAGTATTTTGTGACAGTAAATAAAATATAGAGGAGATACGAACAAGAAAGAGAAAGAGAGATTCTATGTGGCAGGCTAGGACATGTCAAAGTCAAACTACAATATACAGTTTGCCTAGAGCCAGGAGTTTGAGGCCTGGCTTAAACCTTAAAAAAGGATGGTCTATCTATAGGGAACAGCTCTAATCCCTGTTCCTCAAGGGATAACAGTCAGAACCTAGAAACAGAGTCAAGATCGTGGCCACCAAAAAACAATTCTCTGGCCCCAGGCTTGTTTGCTCTACAGAACTGAAGTTCCTTGATTTCCTCCACTTCATTCTGGAAGGCATTGGATGATGTCTTGTGCACACCTGAGAATGAATCTTCTCTCCCTCCTTGACCTGCTAAGGCTGTGAGCTTCTCCTGGGCATGCTCCCAGGGCCTGTGCCAAAGGCCCCGATGCCTGCCTGGGCTGATTTCCTCTCCCATGCCATCTCTGATCCAGAACTAGGCTTGGTTCAGCCCATGCCTCTGTTCAGCTGCTTTGCACCTTCTGAGTTCTAAGACTTGAATGAGGAATGTTCCCTTTGTCCTCTAAATCCCCACGTCTGCCCTAGAAACTTCACTGAAACTCTGTTTTGGTTTTTTTTTTTCATTGCAGCCTCTTCTTCTCAAGGCTTGGGTACAGCTAGCTCATGGAGGCAAGGCTGGGACAAGTAGGCTACCCATAACTGTTTTCCCTTCTGTTTCTTTTGAGGCAAGACTGAATAATAAGGAGATCCCGGCTGAGGCTATCAGGATGGGATACTAGTTTCTGAATAAAAATAAATGGGTGCAAACTTCAGTTTACATTGCTGCATTCCACTGAGAGCTAGTCTTATATCTTCACCTCCTTGCTTATGAGCTTGGCCATGTCATTTGCTCTAGCCAATGACACACTGGCAAATGTGACACAAACAGAGTCGTGGAAAGAGTTCTACAATGGGACCTGCCTTCTTTTCTTCTTTTGGAAGACAGTAGCCAGTAGCCTGAGTTACCTGCTAGATGCTGCAGACACGGGGCACAGCTGCTTTTGTACCATAGCCAACCACCAGATCTGTGAGTGGGGCCATCTCTGATCAGTCAGCTTCTGGCTGACCTGCCAGCTGACTGTAGCCACATGAGTGAGCCCAGGCGGTACCAACAGAAGAACCACCTAGCTGAGCTCAGTTCAAATTCCCAACACCTGGAATCATGAGCTACTCAGTAATTGCTTTTTTAAGCCACTAAATTCTGGATTAATTTGTAAGGCAGAAACAGATAACTCATGCACTGTTGGGTGGGCAGAGGAGGGAATGTGAAATTGATGGAATAAGCGTCCATAATTGATTAATGAAATAAGACCTGAGGTCCTCTTCAGATTCTGAAATTATATGATTTGATGAAAAAATCCCAGTGTCTGCACTAACTGTAATGCATGTAATCTAAATTTATAATTTAATAACTTTTCTTATCTTCTCCTCTCTTTTACATTTAAAATCCCAGAGATATGTGACTGATTATTTACACAGGGAGCTTATTTCTTCTTGGCCATACCTTGTTCTGTTGCCACCAAGTACCCCAAGTACACAAGCTTTCTTACGTGTGCACTGTTTGTAAACTTTAGCTTTGCATGATCCATATCCTAATCTTGAGTAAGAGCTATATGTATAAAAAGAGTTGAGACTTATGTATGAATTAATTTTTTAAATAAAAATATGTTAAGATCACTTGCAAAGTCACACACAGCCATAAAAAATGCAGCTGCCATAACATTAAAGGAAATTACCTCTAGGCTTCCATCCAGTACGGATGCAACTGTCAATGACTAAGACAGGGGCCTTGAATATGAGCGGCAATAATGGAGATGCTGACATATCCATAACTCCCACAGCTTAAGGAATGGCAAACACAGACTAGAATAATAATGACACGTTGTGAATCCCCAACATTTTTACCTAGTGTTGGCAGAGTGATGGAACGGGCTTTCATAATAACATTATAATTAAATTACAAATTGTTTGTCTAAATTTCTGAAAGTCAAGAAAAACACTGCTGTATTTAATTTGGGATAAGATTTCATTTTGCTGAGGTTTTTGCTTCCTGCTCCCAAGTGAGAGGTTTCTCAGGTAAGACACCACCCTGTCCTGGTTTACATACCTGTTGTCCATGGAGGGAAATGCAGGAGGGTGGCAGATGCATTTTTGTAAACAACAGGTGGTGTCGCACTAAGAACTGCAGGCCTGGAGTTCTTGGAAAATGTCCTTTTCCACCTCCCCCTCCCCTTCCCTGGTTTTGACATAGTTTTCTCTTTGAAAACACAGGGACATCAGGAAAGAGTGTGAACAGATTCTCATCTCCATTATGCTCTCCCTATACCCCCTGCTCTGCTTGCAAGTCCCCCGAGGACCTCAAAGGGTGTTCTCCTCCAGATACTTACAGCTTACCCAGCAGGAGGGGCCGGGGACAGTTTGAAGGTGCAGTCACCCTTATTCATTACAGAATGTCCTCTCTTCTTATCTTGCCTTTTTTTAGCCTGAAGGACAAAGAAAGAGAGAGGAGTCTCGATTTTCCTTGTTAATCTGCTCCAGCTGGCAGCGCGTCCAACATTTGAAATCGTCTGTGATGTGATAATTATTTTTTAAAACACTAACATCCCATTTTATGTAATTTTATGGGATAACAGGATGGCAGTTCAGCTTAGAAAACATTTTGACCAACAGTAATTCAGACAAATAAAAATGAGGACAAAAAAGATGACTGACGAGCAAAATAGAACAGCCTGCTATGCCAAGAACTTACATGAATCATGCTTTCCAAAGGCCACATTGCTTATCTGTTCTATAATAACCTGGAACCTCCTCCTCATCAAGTCTCTCTTGGGCTCCTTAGTAGCCCAAGGCTGACGAATGTAAGGACTTAAAACAGGTGGATTCACAGAACCTCAGACTCACAGCTGAAGGGACCTCAGGGTTCATTTTAGTTCACCGCCTCCGCCGCATTCTCCATGCCTGTTTGGGAGCTGGAGAAACTGGTGGAGAGTGCTATGGGTTGAACTGTGCCCTCCAAGAGGATATGTTAAAGTCTTAACACCCAGTACCAGTGAATGTGACTTTCTTTGGAAATAGGATCTTTGCAGAGGTAATCAAGGTTAAGATGAGGTCATTAGGGTGGGCCCTAATACAATATGACTGGTGTCCTTACAAGAGCAGAAGGCCTGTCGCAGTGGCTCATGCCTGTAATCCCTCCACCTTGGGAGGCCAAGGCGGGCGGATTGCCTGAGCTCAGGAGTTCACGACCAGCCTGGGCAACACAATCAAACCCCGTTTCTAGTGAAATACAAAGAAAATTAGCTGGGCATGGTGGTGTGCACCTGTAGTCCCAGCTACTTGGCAGGCTGAGGCAGGAGAATTGCTTGAACCCGGGGGAGGCAGAGGTTGCAGTGACCCGAGATAGTGCCACTGCACTCCAGCCTGGGCAATAGGGTGAGATTATGTCTAAAAAAAAAAGGAGGAGAAGAAACACTGGAACACTGGAACAGAAACTCATGAAGGGAGAACTCCATGTAATGACAGAAAAAGAGACTGAATATTGCAGCTGCAGGCCAGGGCATGCCAGGGATTGCTGGAAAACTACCAGCAGCTAGGAAGATGCAAGGAAGAATCCTGAGCTACAGGTTTCAGGGAGGGAAGGGTCATTGACACCTTCATGTTGGGCTTTTGGCGGACAGAACTGTGAGACAATAAATACCTATTGTTTTGGTGATGGCAGTCCTAAGAAATGAAGACAGGGAGCTTAGGCAAGTGTCCATGATCACACAGCCTGTGACGACAGAGAAGACAGGAGAGCACAGGCCCTGTCATCCCCACTCCAGAGCTCTGTCCTTTGTCCAGAACTTTCTTCCCCTGCAGCTTCATGCATCGGTTGTCTGTGTATGTTTTCTCCGTCTTTTATTTTTGTTTGGTATTTCTATAATTTCTTTCAATCGGCCAGGAACAGTGGCTCATGCCTGTAATCTCAGCACTTTGGGAGGCCAAAGGTGGGAGGATCACAAGGTCAGGAGATTGAGACTATCCTAGCTAACAAGGTGAAACCCTGTCTCTACTAAAAATTTAAAAAATTAGCTGGGCATGGTGGCACGTGCCTATAGTCCCAGCTACTCAGGAGGCTGAGGCAGAAGAATTGCTTGAACCTGGGACGTGGAGGTTGCAGTGAGCCAAGATTGCGCCGCTGCATTCCAGCCTGGATGACAGAGCAAGACTCCATCTCAAATAATAATAATATGAATAATAATAATTTCCTTCAAATAGACTTTTCTTGTCTGCTGACCTTTACTACATACAACTTTTTATTTGGAAAAAACTAAAACCATGGCAGGGTGCCATGGCTCACGCCTGTAATCCCAGCACTTTGGGAGGCCAAGGTGGGTGGATCAGGAGGTCATGAGTTCAATACCAGCCCGGCCAATATGATGAAACCCCATCTCTACTAAAAATACAAAAATTAGCTGGGTATGGTGGCATGTGCCTGTAATCCCAGCTACTTGGGAGGCTGAGGCAGAAGAATCGCTTGAACCCAGGAGGCAGAGGTTGCATTGAGCTGAGGTCACACCACTTGCACTCCAGCCTGGGCAACAGAGAGAGATTCCGTCTCAAAAAAAAAAACAACAAAAAAACAAAAACAACCTAAGATAAATTGAGAGACTATGTCAAGGAACACACTCCCTTCATCTGGATTCACCGATTCACATTGTGCCATGTCTGTTGTACTCTATCCCATGTGTATTTACTTTTGACTGGAACCACTTGAAAGTTGCAGATCTCATGACATTTCATAACTAAATATTTCAGCATGCATCTCTTAAAGACAAAGACACTCTCAGAACAATCAGATTCAAAGAGTTTAACACCAGTTCAAAATTATTATCTAATAAAATGATCATATTCGCATTTCTTCAAGCGTCCCCTAAATGTCCTTTGTATTTTCTTCCTTTCTTCTCTTTTAATTTGGAGCATTCTCCCACCTTATTTTTACTTATCTATTTTTTTGTCTTTCACAATATTGCCATTTTTGAAGGCTCCAAGGCAGTTGCCCTACATAATGTCCCACAATCTGAATTTGTCTGCTTGTTTCCTTGTAATTAGATTCAGATTAGATATTCTTTGGGAAGTATTTTAACTAGGTGATGCCGATTACCTAGGTGATTGCATCTCACTGGGAAGAACAGGATGTCAGTCAATCATCACCCTTATTACTGAGGTTAGATTCATTGATTATGGTGGTAACTATCAGATATTCCCATTGTAAAGGTATCTTTTTCCTTGTCATTAATCAATAATCTGTGTGAGATATTTGAGAGAAGACTTGTTCTCCCTCATTTAATACAGTACATCCAGAGTTAAGAACAATATTGACTTGATATTAGATATCTCTCCATAGCTGAAATGCAACCCCTAACATGTCCTTTTACTCTGTGTGTGTGTGTGTGTGTGTGTGTGTGTGTTTTAAAAGGGGTGGAGGTTGGGTTAAGGTTAAAACTAACCTTCCTCTTGTATAAGCCACCAGCCTACAGACATCTGAAGGTCATTCTCATGTCTTTATCAGTACACATAAAATATTATCCAGGTTTTGGCCTTGTCTAAGCTTTCTGACCCCTATTAAAATTTGTGTGGAGACTTAAGAAAGCATAAAAGGTAAAGTGTATCTTTAAAGGTAAGTGATATATATAAAAAGGTAAGTACATCAGAGAGCAAAATGCTAGGTAGGTAACCCCAAGGCTGAAAGCATAAAACGACATTATGTAAATCAAAGTTTTGCTGCTCAGCATGTCAAGGCCGAAGTATCACAGCTAACACAGAGCTTATTCCATGACACTAGCAGCAGGGTGATCTCTTCCTTGCTGGCTACCACAAAGGCTGTGAACTTGAGAATGCAGAACAAAAATAGATCTCCAAAGCCATGTCAATCATTTTTGAGAGGTCAAAAATACTCTCTGCTTTAAATGGAAGTTACTGCTTTGGTAATCAGTGTAACAACATTTAAAATGCACACCTGTCTCTGAGTGAGTCTGAAATACAGTGGTCGGAGTGGAAAACCCACCAAGCCCACCCACAGAGCATTCCTGTGCCACCGTGGGGCTGACTCTGCTGCAGGATTCCTGTGGAATTCTTTTTGTATCATTTTCCCCTCTAGGTCACAAGTTCCATGAGAACAGGATCTTTGTCCTGTTTTATCTCCAGTGTCAAGAACAGTGTCTGGCACACATTAGGTGTCTAATAATTATTGGTTGGATGAATTAGTGACTAAAAGTAGTGCTCTTCAAGGTTAGGTCAATTCAACCTTTCCCTAGACCTTCTAAACAAGAGATGTCACCTTATGTCTCCTCCACTTCCTTTTAACTTAATTACAAAATTTGTTTCTGGGGAGTGTGTAAAAGGCAATTAAGGAGCCCTTCTCAGTTTCTCTCTCTCAACCTCCAACGGTTCAGCTAGTCACTTCAGGCAAGACAGGCTTCAAGGCACAGCCCCGTGAGCCAGATCAGGTTAGGACTGCTCTCCCAGAGGCCATGTGTCTTGTTTTCTTTGCAAAGCAGGAAACGGGAAGGACTCACCCGTCCTCACTGGGGAGCTCACCTCCTCCCAATATTTTCATTGCTGAGTTGCTAACGGTCATGAGGAGAGGGCAGCCTGAGCACTGTTGATACAATAATGTGCAATTTGTTTAAAATTTCCCAACATGACTTTGTCTAGAAATAGTGCAGTATCAAATTTCAATTTGCTTAAATATATGACAGTTAACCAAAATGAATTATCTGCGTTATGACAGTTAGCACATTTATTGTTCGTGTGCAGACGCTTTTGTTTCAAGGAACCTGAAAGAACCAACCAGTGCATATGAATCAGGACCCTCTAGACTCCAAGATGGTAGGGAGCCAGTGAACAGTAGAGGGCAGAAGGGGCAGGAAAGAAGCGCTCCTCCCAGAAGAAACAGCAGTAATACTGCTTAAAATATCAAAGAGTACTGTATGTGTAATACTTCTATTTACAAGAGCCTTGTGAAATGAGAACTACTATTCCCATTATAGAGAGTAGGAAACGGAGGCTTAGCGAGGCTATGACTTGACAGTAGCAAGGGGTGGAGTGAGGATTTGATGGAGCGGGTCTGACCTCAGAGCCCTCTGCTTCACCACAAGCATGAGGAGTGTGTCCAATGCGTGGTAGAGATGGAAGCCTGTTATTTACTATTGTTGTCTGGCAAGTTTTCAAGGAAATCTTTGATCATTTCTTAAAATGCTTATGTGGGGAGTAACCCAGGACAGATAAACTCCTGTTAGATTACTGCCCCAGAGTTCAGATAGAGGAATCCCTGTACTCTTCGTCAGCATCTTTTTGATTATTTAGTGCTTTTATCATCTTTGTGGTTCTCCTTGAACTGCACTTCAAAGATCACACATTCCAGAAGAGTATGGATGTAGTTCAATTCCTGAGAGGCATTTGTGTGTGAATCGATGAAAAGCTTTGCTATGAACGAAGGACA